ACCAGCAAGCCACGTGTGAACCGACAACGAACTGGAGACATTCTTCTGAAAGTACACAGACCCTCGCTGCCAGCGTTCTTAACAAACAAACAGTATTAAATGTAATATACCTCCCCTAAAAAATTAAAATGAGCCATAAATCTCTTTACTTTGGAATACAACCAAAAGCTTTTTGTGGAAGACCCAAATCCTGGATGTTGGAGCCACTCGTTATAGGGCAACGACACGAGTCCGTATTCAATGCGGCACTTTGAGACACTAAGGAACTGTAAAATTTTTCGTGAATGGAAAGAAATTAATGTTTCAATTGAGTATTAGGCTTTTTCTGAAATGAATACTGGTGCTTAATGATCGCTATTTACTCTCATTTGCTGTTCATTCTTCCTGTCACTGAGCAGACAGATTAATGCTACTGATTTGCTCAGTCTTTGTAAAATAGGATTTGTATATGATTTATTAATAACACAAGCTAAACATGTTATCAGATCAGTAACCGCAAAAACGCAATAGAGCAACAAGATAAACAATAAACATGAAGACTTCAAATAAAAATATACTTTCTGAACATTTTCTCTTCTTAATTCTCTCCGAAATAATTCAGATTCAGTACCCGATTTAGCAAAGGTGCAACATGTAGAGTAAATACTGAAAATTTAAATAATTTGAAAGACGTTTTTGTGGAATGTGGCAGCATGGATAAACGAAGCTAATTGGTGTGTGAAAACCTCCACACTTTGGGCTCGTTCATTTCAGTGTTTGTTCTATTTTGAAAAAGAGAACAATGTTCCAAGTTTCAAGCTGATATAATTTTCATTCTGTTTTAAAAGTGCCATCCTGATTCTACAGGTCCTGATGAAAATGAAGACATGCGATCACCTTTATGCAGTACCCAAGAGAGTCCAGCGGTCATCCATAATGTGCACCCCCAAGAGTCATCTGATCACCCTTATTGGGCACCTCCAGAGGTGGTCACATGATCACCCCTACCATGTACCCCCAGGAGTCACGTGATCACCTTACCTGGGTGCCCCTAGCATTCAGGTCGTCACCCCTACCCAGTAGTGCTAGGGACCATGGAGGCTCAGCATTACCTTTGTCCCCATGGACACCGTCGTAGTTGTCTATCAGCTCCTCCAGAAAGGCCTCATCTTGCTCAAGCACCTCATCCCCCATGTAGGGAATGTTGTGCAGAAACGTTTCGTCCTCCACCTGCAAGAAGAAGCCCTGACGCAGTTAACCAAGCCCCTGAGCACAGACATTTCACAACCTCAAGCTCGCAGAAAAAGTAACAATGCCCTGACTCATCAGCGGAGTGTCATGACAAACTGCACTGGGAACAGGCTTCCTGGAACTTGTACAAAAATGCTCGGCTGTATAAATCAACAGATGCGCACATCGGGCTGCTAGAGAGAGACATGTCACACTTTCAGCCTTTCGGTTTATGGGCACATTTACAGAACTCGGTTTCAGTGGGGTAGTTTGTGGAAAGTAATTATGTTACAAAACACATGACCTCACCAAAACAGTTTCTCCCAAAACTTCTTGCTCAAAAAATACTTCCTTACAAAAAGTAACGTGAAACATGAACGGAATACTTTATAAAAGCAACCTTCTCCGACGCTGCTCATATTATACTTTGGAATCTGAAAAGAAAAGGTTATAACAGCACATTTCAATCCAAAAACTGAAATCTTTTCTGCTCTCTCAGTTCATAGTTAGAATAAATGGATCAAATCCTTCTAACACTCATGGAATGCTAAGATTCTAGGGCTCTGGGTTCGATTCCACTCTATCTATCGCAGCAGTATCTGCCTGCAAGGAGTGCGTCTGTTCTTTGCTGTTTGCGTGGGTCTCCTCCTGCCTCTCTGAGAGTCTGACAGGCTCCTCTG